TTGTCATTTTCAGCATGCCAGAACATTTCCAACATGGCAGAAGATTCATGGACAGTAGCTTTGACGGGAACAAAATCGAGGCAACAGCCTAACTGGAGATAAAATCCCGGAGAATGGGAAGGATAGAAATAAGGAAGATAGATTCAATGAGTATTTGTAAGGCAGTGCAGACAAACTGATGATTGATAGTTTGTAGAGACCGAGGGAAAGAGAGTCATGTGAGGTTGCCAAGCTTCCAGGTGGGGTTATGGATGGATTATGATATAGCCAAGCAAAATGCAAAATGTTACAGAAAACATATATTCAAGGGTGAGAGAAGGTAAGAGATTAGGCTTTATGCCTGAGATGAGTAATGCGGAATGCCTCAAGGCTTTCTGACTCCACAGAATAGCAGAGAGAGAGAAGCTCTACAAGAGAGAATTACAGATGTCAAAAAAGTGGGGAGAATGAATTCAGATACTCTTTCCAAAAGTTAGGATGTGCAGAAAAGAAAAGATGCAGCATAATCCTTACAAGGCCAATGTAGACCAAAGAAAAGATTACTCAGATTCAAAATGACTTAAGCATTATAGATTGAAAATAAGGAGGAAGTAGGAGAAACCGAAACAGCAAGATCCTGGAGAAGACAGAAGAACCCGAGGTCACTAAAGAGAACTTGATACTTCAACCTCTGTAGCAGAAAGAAAATAAGTAAAGCTGGAATGATCATAGTTAATTTTGAAAGGCGCAGGGCGTTTGAGAAATTTCCTTGAGTCTTTAGAATTTTGCGATACATAGGAAAACAGGACATCAGGGGAGGGTAGAAGGAGTTTATATTTTGAATAGTCACTGAGAGAATGGGAAAGGAAGCAGCTCAAAAGTGTGTAAAAGGGCCAGGAATCTAGGGTCCAGGCTCTGCTCAGCAGAAGGGATGAGATTTTGCTGACTCATGCAGTGTACAGACAGGGATGTAAGGTAAAGAAGAATGCTGGTGAGACAAGAGCTCAGATGACTAAACTGGAGTCCAGGTGGGTAGGGAGGAAGGAAGGTCAAGGAAAAGACTGATAAAATGCAAGATAAAAAAGAGGCCAAAGTGTCAGACTTTGAGGTCACTGAGTAAGGTGTATTGGGATTTAGGGTCTTCAAGAACTGATAAGGACAGGCACAGAGGTCAGAAGAAAGATTTTGAAGTTTCTGAACAAATAAATTCTAGGTTCTGTGAGCTAGGACTTGTCCATATTGTAGAGAAAAATCTCTTGATCTGTTTTATAATGTTAGCATTGGCATCATTCCTCCCTTGGCCAATTCCAAACTCCCAAGGTGATGTCTTTAAACATGGAATTGGGAAAAGATATATAGCCCTGTACCATTATATAAGATTTATATGTTCTAGCAATATGAGAAACCTTCAGAAAATAAGTGATAGTAAATGATAGTAAAATAAAGAAGTGATGGGTTTGAGTATTTATTGCCTTTGTTTTTTTATATAATTGAATTGCAAATTTATATAACATATTTTTAGTAGTAATTGTAGTGTTTAACAACAGACTGGTCAAATTCCTGAAATTAATTCTCATATATGAACTCGTATGAGCTGGCTCTGGCATAACATTGATGTTGTTTGTAAATATAATTCTTATTTTCCTACTTAGACTTTTGAGCATTTAAAGGTAAGGTAATGATGTAAATATAATAATAAATATTTGTTGAGTAATTGATTTGTCTCTAGATTAAAGCTAAACGAGGTGATTATTACTGGTTTCTAGTTGCCACATTATCTATTATAATTAACCTCCTCAATTTACTGGAAGTATTTCCCTGGGTAAAATCATGGTTTTAGATTTGCATACCTTGGACATGAAAGCTGTTTATTTAGATGTTGAAGTTGACTATGTGATGACTAGGGTATATAATACTTGCATGTATTTTCACAATGCTGCTTTGCGGTTATGTGTTGAAAGTTTTTTTTTTGTACCGGGGATTGAACTTGGGTCCTTGCACTTGCAAGGCAGGCCACGGAACCGCTGAGCTAAATCCCTGGCCTGAATCCATTTTTCAATAACACTATACAACTTCACTAGTAATCCAAGTGCCTTATAAAATCAAGGTAATAATTCTATCCTCCAGTCCCTTGTTTATTGCTTTCATAATTATTTTACTTATGCATAAGCATACATAGACATATGCAAACCTGATTAAAGACATCCGTGATATTATTTTGAACTGTTACCTGTAGAGCAGTTAAGAATAAGAAAAATTAATTATTTTACTTTCACTTTTTTCTTTGATGCTTTTCCTTTTTAATCTAAATACACATTTGTTATTTATGTCATTTTTCTTCTCTTTTAAGAACTCCTCTTACTATTTCCTGCAAGTTTAAACTTGCATTTTTCTAATGGCCAGAGATGTTGAACATTTTACAAATTCTTCATTTATTTGTTTGTCTGAGAAAATGTATTTCTTCTTCTGAAGAGTAATTTTGCCGGATACAGAATTCTAGGCTGGTTGCTTTTTATTCTCCCCTCAATGCTAAATATTTCACATTACTTTCTTGCTTGTAGAAATAAGATATAATTCTTACTCCTTTTTATCTGTAGATAAGATATTTTTCCTTGTCTTCCTTTGAGATTTTTTATTTTCTGCAGTTTGAAAATGACATGCTTAGGTATGTTTTGTTTGGGGGCACAGGTTGTATGTATGTGTTTAGCATTTATTCTTGATGCTCTTATAGATGTTTGAGTTTGTGGTTTTGTGTCTGATATTAATTTGGAAAACTTCTCTGTAATTTTTGCTTCAAGTAATTCTTTTCTCACTTTCTTCTGTGCGAGTTCCATTACATGTTATATCCCTTGTAGTTGTTCCACAGTTTTTGGATATCCTTTTGTTCTGCTAAACTTCTCTGTTTTAGAAGTTTCTACTGACACATTCACGAGCTCATAGATGCTTTCCCCAATATTATTCAATTTTCTAAGCCCATCAAAGGCACTCTTCATCGTTGTGAAGTGTTTAGATCTCTAGAAATTCCTTCTGATTCTCTTGTAGAATTTCCATCTGTCTCCTTATATCGTATACATCTATTTTTTCATGTTGGTCTCTGCTTTATCTGTCCCAGCCCTTAGCATATTAATTCTCAAAAGAAAATAAATTTCCTGTCTGATAATTCCAGCATCCCTGCTACATCTAAGTCTTGTGCTGGTGTTTGCTCTCTCTTTAATCTGTAGTTGGTTTTTGCTTTTGTTTTGCCTTCTAGTTTGGTGTTGAGTATTTTCCTGATAGGCATGATGTACTAGGTAAAAGGAACTGTTGCAAATAGGCCGTTAGTAATGTGAGGGCGAGGTCTGGGGAGGTATTCATTGTGCCCAACAGACCTATGATTAGGTCCCAGTTTTTCAATAAGCCTGTGCCTCTGAATTGTGAATTTTAGAAATGCTCCTCATTTTTACCCTTAGTTGGGACTGGATGGCTAGAGTAGGCTGGAATTGAGTATTTCCTTCCCTTCAGGTTGGCTCATCTTTAAAAAATCCAATAGTTCAGCCTCTGGGAACATAGTTTCTCTGGTGGGCAGGCCTTGTTAAGAACAGAATGCTCTAGTGTATCTCAAAATTGTTCCTTTTCTCCTCTCCTTGTCAAAAGTGTGAGATTTTTCTCTAATATTTGTTGTGAAAATCTGGTTGAGTTCCTAGATGTGAAAGCCACAAAAATGTGCGGACTCTCAAGTTCTTTGTTTTTCAGTACTGTGGACTGAATCCCATGCCTTTACACCAAGCTTCATCTCCAGGCGTTTTTCTTTTCTTTGAGACAGGGTCTTGTTAAATTGGTGCATTGTTCATACTGAGCTTTAATTCCCAATCCTGTCTTAGGCTCTCAGAGCGCTGGAATTGTGAGTGTGTCACTATGCTGGGCTTCAAATTTTTGACTCTCAGGATTGTCCATGCCGAGTACCCAGGAACTTGTCAATGACAGTTTAGGTTTTTCTACTGATTATTTTTTTTTCCGCGGGGCTTCTGTTCATGGATTTCTGCTCTAATAAATGGTGATTCTCAGTATCTGCCTCCCTCTCTCCCTACATTGAAAGCAGCAAAATTTCCCTGTGACCTTATTTAGCCAACAGATAGAAGAAGAATTGTTGACTTCAGTTTGTTCATTTTCTTGCTTGTTGTTAGAAGGGAGTGAGAATTTCCAAGCTTCTCATGCATCAGATTGGAAATCAGAAGTCTCAGTGTATTTTTCTAAGATATCTTCGTTGAGGTATAAGTTACATACCATAAAAATAACAACTTATATGTGGGTAATTTACTGGTACACAGAGGCAATAATCACTGCAATTAGTTTTGGAGTCATAAATTGCATCACTGTAGAAAGTTTCCTTGTGCTCATTTGGGATTCTGCACGTAACACTAACCCTAGGCAACTGATGGCCCATTTTCTGTTTCTATAAATTCATCCTTTTGGACATATAATAAAAATGGATTCACACAACATACAGCATTTTTTATCATTCTTCTATAACTTTGCACAATGTTTTTGAAGTTAACTTATTATAGTGTATATCTTAATTTTTAAACTAAAAATTAGTATGTAAGAGCTGTTTTCTAGTTGTTAATAAAAATTCAACCAAAGTGAAAGTGAATTAGAACATGATTCAAACTTATCTTTCTATAAAACATGATTGTGCTACACACAGACCATCTTCACAGGATAGTCAAAGCAATGATTTAAAAACTACAAAGTTTGACCAACAGGACAATATTTAGAATAAACATGAATATAGCCGTACTGATTTATTCCAGTAGATTATAAGAACAAAAACTGAATAAATTTGGTATGAGGAGGACACCTCATATTGACATTTTCATGAGTGACTTCAATTTTCTTCTGAAGAGCCAATTAACCTTGTGAAGCAATTGGAATAGTTAGTACTTAGCATCTGACTTTTCTGGAAAGCAGTTTAAAATTTCCAAGGCTTACTATAAAATTCTGAAAGTCACAAAATGTTCATGACGGTAGACTGTTGTACTTACAAATTGTCCTCAAGTCTCTTCAAGGATTCAAAAACTAATGAATGAACACTGTCTAAGGAGCAGGATCCAAAGCAATTCAGGGATGGGATGTATCTAACTTTCATAACCCAGTCATTGTGCAGCTTCCTTTTAACACTAGGAATGAAGAAAAGTGGGGTGTCATGTTAGACACAGAAACACGTAATAGTGAATACTGTTTCTAAAACACACACACACACACACACACACACACACACACATATATGTGTGTGTGTGTGTGTGTTTATAAAAGTGGATTTGTGTGCACATAGAAACATAATTTTTTCTTAGTATATCATAAAAATTTTCCATGCTATTTATTTATTTCAAAATATAATTTAATGGGTACATGACACTATTTAATATGGCTGCAGTCAGATTACTGAACATTCTTGACACCATAAATACTTTTCAGGAACATTTAAAATCTGTATTTTATGAGATTTTCATGCTGCCTACTGTGCTCAGGAGGCAGGTAAGAAACATGTATATAAATATATTACATGTGCATTGCATATTTATAAATATATAAATGTTCACCTATAGAATTTATAACATGCTTATATATCTGAACTACTTATGTAAATGATTAATCATTTAAATTAATTACTCCCTTACTGTTGGGCACTAGATAATTTATCATTAGCAATAAAGCTGTTATAACCATACTTGTACTTTGGGATACAGAGGGACCCAGATACCAAAGCATAACATTTATGCTTTATGCATCTTCGCCACCTGCTTTCTGGAAAGGTTCATCTGACTCACTCTCTTACCACCACCTGTGCGTCAGAATGCCCATCTCACAGTGTCTTCCTATTTGTAATCTTTTCCAGTTTTAAAGGTGAAAAATGGTATCTTATTTAAAGTTGTATTCTCTTGGTTAATAGGAAAATGCAATTTAATATAAAATGTATGTTTTTCTACTAAGAAAAGTAATATATACCTTAGCTTAAAGAACTCTGAAGGTGTTGCAGTTGTAAAGAAGACCATCACAACCATTATCTTGTCAGTTGGTGATACTCTTAGCATTTTTGTCTGGTGATCACTTTGGAATGTTTACTGACCATTTATTTGTACTATTGGTACATGTGTGTGAATTATCTGTTCATGGCCTTTGTTTATTATTCCCTTGGGGAGTTATTGCTTTTTAATTCAATTCTCAGATCTATAAAAGAACATCAACCAACTGTCTGTAATATTTGTGGCAGGCATTTATTTCAGTTTGTTATTTACTTTTTAAATGGATATCTTGATGTCCAAGGTTTTACTTAGTATGTAATCAAATCTATCAAAATTTCTTTGAATTCTGCATCCATTGCTTCTATATTTAGAATCTTCAATATTTAAGTGCTAAGAAATAGTCATATGTATAGATCTTTCATTACTTAATTTTTTAAACTCTTCAATCTATTCAAGTATGTGGAGGTTTTATTTGCCAATAGCACTTTCTAAAAGGGAGTTTCAGTTGCTAATTTTCCTGTCCATCTTCCCTCTTATACTGGAAGTTCCTTGAGACAAGGAACATTTCCTGTTCAACTTTGAATCTCAGATCTCCAGCATATGATCTGGCCTCTTGTTTCCACCATATATAACATGAAAGAAACAATGACCATAATTATTAAAGAAAGTGGGCCATTCCTAAAGTACCCTTACCTTTTAAAGTTCTTTGAGTCTAAGACCTGATTTTGCAATTTCCTTTTGATTTTTGCCTGCTTTAGTCCAAAGTCATCACTATTTACAGTGAATCTGCTCACAAAACCACCATCATCTCCCAGGAGGATGTCTTCTCTGCAGAGCTGGTCAGGCAGAGGCACCACACACACACACAAAAGGCAGTGATCCATGGGCTTTATGACAAAATAGTTTTCCTAGAAATAGAGGAATATTGTAATGAGTCAGTATATTCCTCTAATTAATAAATATTGCCAGGGATGGGCATGCAGCTCAGTGGTAGAGTGTGTGTTCAGCATACATGAGGCCCTGGTTTAATTCCCAGCCAATAAAATTAAATTAAATTAAAAAATAAAATGGTTTCTACTGTGTTTCTTATTTTAGATACTCTAACAATGATGAACTTTAAAAAAAACAGCAAAAATTAACCAAATATAAGTTAATGAATATGCACTGTGAACCCAACATGGTGTTTTACTTACCTTTAGTTCGGGAAGTAATGAGATTTTATAATGCATTTCTGAATTGCCTTCTCTTGGATTTTTAAGCAAATATTAAAAAAGAAATATGGAAAAGTTCAAGTGTCACCAGACCATTGACATAAAACTGGGTGGTAAAAAAAAAGAAAATCAAGTATCAAAAGCCCCATGTATTATATAACATGTCAGCAGGGGAAAAAAATCCTAATATCCAGTTTTATTCAGAAATATGCATCAAGCATTTGCACTATTGAAAGCATTCACCAAGTTATACAACTATTGCTCTCCCAGAACTTAGTCTCTAAGATAGAGGAAAAATATTTTTTAAACCTTTTAGTGTGTGTCCCATTTCCATTAGAATGAGTAGGAGCCGAACATGCTCAGAAGTTCATTCAGTCATTCCACAGATACTTACTGAGCATCTATTATGTGCTAAGAATTATTCTAAGTATGGCCAAACAGTGAAGAGAAAGACAGTTTCTGACTTTGTGGAGCTACCATGCTGGTGAGGAAGACAGCAGAGCAGAATCAATCATATAACAGGACACGCCCTGAGGGAAATAAATTAGAGTCTGTGCAGAATCTCTTAGGTCTCAGGATTGGAGAAAGCGATCTTTGACCTGGGACCTCACTAATGGTGAGGAAGAGGAAATTCAGAGGATGAAATCCTAAAAAGATATAAATGTTAAAAAGATAGAAAAGGAAGAGACAAGTGGAGTGTAGTCCTGGCCAAGACAGGAGGAGATGGGGGTGTCAGATGCAAAGATTTTCTTCCAAGGGAGGAAGGAAGAAAGGAAGCAGAGATGTTTGTAGTTGAACCGGTAGGTGGGAGGACTAGACTTTAAAAGAGGACAAGACACAGAGTCAATCTCTGGAAATCAAGAGCAATTCCATGTGCTCAGAAGGAGAGGAAGAGAGGCTGAGAAGGATAATGACATTGTGGAAGACTTGCAAGGAAAGGGAAGGACCCACACCGGATGGATAGAAGACACGGGGAGCCCGCTGAGTGTGCAGGCCTGGGTTTGTAAGGATGCCAAGCAGGATGGCTCATGCTTTCCTCTAGCAGTCCTTAGCCCCTGTGAAAGGCAGAAAGGGCTATAGCATCTATCCTGGTTGAAAGATGGGTTGAAGAGAGCAGAAGGTGAGGCGACAAGCCCAGATGACCCTCCTGGGTGGAGGCAGGAAGTGAAGTGGAGGAGGTTGCTGCAGATTGGAGAAGGAGCCTTCAAGGAAACATGAGATTGAAAAAGCAACAATGAAAACAGCACAGGGTGAGGGAGAAGTGATGATCAAAGTCCTGACGGAGTTCAGAGTTTCAGAAGTTCATAAAGCCTAGTGTTGACATCATTTGGCATTCGTAGTTGGGTACAACACTGTTGACAAATTGCACAGAAACTTTGGCTTTTCAGACACGAGGAACAAGTAAACCTCAGAGGAAGACTAGATTGTTTCTTAATCCCTCATGTCCTGCAAAGTCAGCCTGTTTTCAAAAATTTTTAAAAATTTTTAAATCTCACTGCTCATCAATCTCACCTCTTCCTGAGCCCTTATTGTGCTTGCTTCTTTTTTACAGCATAAATTGACATTTCATTACACTGGATGTTATATTTATTCATCAGGTTCTTCAAGACTGGGTGGTTTTGAATGCAGGGAACATGTTCATTACTTTTAAATGTCTGGAAAACCTGAGGAATCACTGGATCGATTAACTGGTAACCTCTCAGCTATGGAAGGGCTGCCTCGTTGGAATTTTTGACAGATTTAGACATTTTAATAATTTTCTTATTAATACAGCTGGACAGGAGAGAAAGGCTTTGAATTTGATAACACAAAGCATAACCAGAATGATAACACTTAGATGATTAAGATGTGATATACATATGACCCAATTCTCTATGATTGATGTAATTATTATGTATAGCAAAATATACTAATAAAAACGAAAGGGCTTACTCTGTCCCTCTCAAAATCAAAACAAAACAAAACCTCTGAATGAAATGTATACTAAATCAGAAGAACATTCCCCTTTCATTATAGAGCATTAGTGCTGAGCTTGATCTAAGAGAGTATTCCGTTAAATCCCCTCGTTTTCTGTGTGAGGAGACTGGCATTCATTGAAGAAAGTAGCTTGCTCCTATTCTTACCAGATCTGGAAAGAAAGAAAATCTCATTTCTTTTGAGCATTTCTCTTGGCACAGTACCTGGCTGCTCCCTTGAGATTTATAATCCCAGACAATGATGGTCCTTTCTGTGGTGGCCACAATTCGTTTCAGCTGGGAGAGGTAGTCACATCCGGTAATCCAGGAGGTATCCTGCCAGAAAAGCATAGAATTGGGGTTATAATCCATCCCTTTAATAGCATGGCGGTGGGTACTAAGGAGTAGGTTATGGCCATTAAAAGACCCTCTGTGCAGGGAAACCTTGCAGTGCATCCTGTTTTGAGTGGCATCAGAAAAGCTTCCCCTCTTCACCTCTTTCAGCCCCACCCTGAGTTTCTCAAGACCCTCAGCTGGGGACTGATTCAGCAAGTACAGCAACTGCTCTCTGGTGCACAAGGCGGCTGGCAGAGCAGCAGGTTTTTGCCCTAATCACTTCTGGGAGATGACGTACTTCTTCACGTGGACACAGAGAGACTAGGTTCCGGGCAGGGATTAAGTGTTCTCTGGCCCCACTGCAAACTATCACTTTTACCTAGAGAAAATCTTAGCGCTCACGTAGTCAGTGATAAATCGAGGCCATGGAATTTGTCCTGAATCTTGCCTAAAGTCACCAAGCCGGCACAGCTATGAGCTACAATAACCATGACACACAGCTGTATAGAAACAATGGCTTCCACGTAGGAGGGCCTCATCTGCCAGAAACTGCTGCATGGGTTCAAGCAGGCCCTGGAGTCTTTTCGTAAACCTGTAAAGAATTTTAAATGGGTTTGTTCAATTTAAGAAACGAAAGCTCCACGGTTTATGGAGAACACAGACTCTTTTGTCAAGCAGCATAGCACACCGCTCTGTAGTTCAGTGGATTCTTTCAGTGCACATAAGCAGGGTGAAAAAGTCAAACATTTCTTTGCCTCTCAAAAGTCCATGGCAAGATTCTGAATCAGGTCACTGTGGCTTTACATTTCCCCTGCTGTTAGTATTCACATTAGTGATGTGGTTTAAATGAATTATAAAATCGCTCTTGAATTTTTTTATGTTATCAAATTTAAAATGAAATGTTCCGAAATGATTTCCCTTAGTACCTGCTTGTTCTCATAATTTAGATTGTGTCCATTTTTTTTTTCATATCCCTCAATCGTGGGTACTTAGAAAACTTAGTTCTTAAATTGAATTTTCCAAGAAAATTTCTGGGAAAATTAACCAGTTTCCTAGAAATTCTTTGCAGATGGTTTAACTCCAAGAAGCAATACGTGGGTCTTCTTTGCTATCACTCAATAAAGAAATTTACAATCTGTGAAAGGGTTTATACTCGTAGCCTATCCAGACACTTCGAGATTTTGATTAACTGGGGAGGAAATTTCATCAAAACTCTGTTTGACTTTTTAAGAAAATTTTAAAATGTACTTACTGTGACATCGGTGCTGATCTGAACTTTCATCTATGAATAAAGGAAAAGGATAATGAAAGCTAGTTGGCACTAGGATGAGGGTGCTGACTATGACAACACAGTCCCTCCTTGGTTTAACATCACTGGTCATCTTACCTTCCATGAGTTTCCTGTTTCTCCTGCTCTCAAAACATTTGTCTTTGTGAAATATTGCACACAGTTCACAGTGAACAAGATTTATACCTCTCTGGCTTGTCCTTAAACTTGGTGACTGTGCTTTAAGAAGCTGACACTTTACTAATTCATTTATTGGCCCTACAGGCAAACTACGCAAAATAATACTAACAGTAACGATAAGCAGAGTTCAAAGAATGCTAAGTAGATCGATGTGAACATACAGCTATATGGAAAAATATAAGCTGCTTTCACTGAAAAGATATCTCTCCAAGTTATTGAGAGACTTCAAGAATGCTCTGCTCAGGGGACATCCTCTTTTATTCAGTAGGTATCTGTTGAGTAAACATTATTCCCTAGGTACTGTACCATGCTAGGTGAGCATCAGAGATGCATTCTATGCAGAGAGCTAGTTGGTATAATCAGCCTTTCCCAAGTTGAAGACAAACAGTTAAAGTATCTCAGTGACTCAGTTTCTTTAGCATGCTTAGATGGTCTTGGGAAACATCTAGGAGATGGCTTCCCAGAAGGATAAGATTATGTGAAACAGAAACAGCAGATCGGGAGAGCATTAAAAGTGTGTGTCATGGCCACCCACAGACTGTCATGCATCTGAAGTGTTCCAAAAGGCTTTACTAACCAGGGGCCTGTTTCTAGATGGGAAAAAGAAAATGTTGTAAGGAAAATGTTGAGCAGCAGAGCAGAGGCACTATGGTTTCCCCTTCAACTTCCCAATATCATTGTTAGTGAAAGTCAACTGCTTGGAGTCCTCTGGCCTTCTTTAAATTTTCACATTCCTTATTAATATCTTCTCAGTTTCTAAAATTGATCCTTTGTGCACAAGTTTTATTTATATTCTATATCATCGAGAAAGCATTAGGGGAAAGGTAATAAGGGAAAGAAAAAATAGGAGAAAATGAAAAAATGGAAATAAAATGTTTGTAAATGGGGATTGGAGGAGGGGGTGAAGGGAGGGCAGGGACAAGGGGAAAAATGAGAACCAAAACCTGTCATGTAAAGGTACAGGATCCCAATGATGAATGTAACTGCACTGTACACCTGAAATGTACCAATAAACTCAATGAGGAAAACAATATATTTAGCTTTATTAGTAGCTAGATTTTAATAAAGTATCCCTGTGAACTACATTTCCAAATTACTTCTCTCACACAGTATGTGCCATCTTATTCATAAGGCATGTAACAACCAAAACATTATTTATTCCTGGTGCAAAAATTCTTAAAACAACTGATGTTAAGCAATCTTTACTCTCCAATTGCACTGTCTTATATGAAGTAGGTGTGAGTGTGTGTCTGTGGGCATATATGTGGTACAACTATAAGCCTGTGTCTGTGCTTGTATATATGTGTGTGTGTGTGTAGCATCTCTAAAAATACAGTAATGCCACCACACTTGTTTCAGAGTCAGCAACTGTTTCATTATGCAGATCATTATCCTCTTCCTCATCTTATTTTTTATTTTATTTTATTTGGGGGATACTGGGGATCAAACTCAGGACCTCACACTTGCCATGCAGGCACTGTGCCATTGAGCTATATTATTTTTTAGAAACCATGCTAGTTCTGTTTTCGAAAAAAATAAAGATTAAAAAAAATGGGATGGGAAATGATGCGCTTAGAAAAAAAGAGTTCAGGAAGGTTTGTATATTAAATGAGGAAAATCATTTTTGTTTTCACATCATTTTTTCATAATGGCAATTAAAGACATTTGCTGAGTGCTTACAACAATGCGGAGCCCTTTGTGGGCATTAATGTATCCAACCAGCACAAGTGCCTTGGGAGGGAAAGTCCGCGTTTCCAGATGGGGATCTAGGGTATGGAGATACGTGCAAGCTGTGCTTGTACTAAACTGGACCAGGGTCCATACCTGCACCCCAAATCACCAGTAGCTGACCTCCAGGGCCAAGCTAGCCCCCCTATTCTTACACATCTCGCTGCCTATGGTGTCAACTTTTGAAAGACTCCTTGAATCGAGTGTTACTAAAGGTTGAAAATTATTGTGGAAATTTTAATCATGTGATAGTTGCTTCAGTGTATTTTACTTGTATAAAGCTTGTCATTAGTTGGAAATGAACTAATTAGAATTTTAAGAATAAGTTTAACACCAAACATTCACCTTTCATTTTTGTAGTGAAATATTATGTAGGCTATACCATCATACATTTCTTTAAAATCTTGTGTTTTGAAAATAAAAGTTCAAAACTCAAGAAACTGTAAATAAATGGGATAGATAATAGCAATACCTAACACTTATACAAGAACTTTTGTTCAAAAAGTGCTTCTACATTCATTGTTTCATTTGATATTCACTAAAATCCTCCAAGGAAGAGAGGCCTGGTCCTTTTGTCTTCATTGTATAGATGTGAAAAAAGATGCAAAAATATATAAGTGGCTTATTAAACTCCCTATTAAATGATAGCTAATTAAATAGAGGGGTGAGAATTGGAGCCATTTTTTGTTTGTTTGTTTATTTTTTGAGACAGGGTCTCACTATGTAGTTCAGACTGCTCTGGAACTCACTGTGTAGCCCAGGCTGGTCTCGAACTCACAGTAATCCTCCTGCCTCAGCCTCCCGAGTGCTGGGATTATAGGTGTGCACCACCATGCCTGGCCTGGAACCATTTTATTAATACCAACTCAGAGGTTCTTGATAGGACCTTCTGTTATATGGCTTGTTTAAGACAAAAATCACTCGGTTTGTGTGTGCTTCCAATTTTATGTGAGAAATTGTGTAGGTTCAATTTTTTAAATTATCATGATGTTATATGGTTTAATATGATACCCCGTGGAATATGTCACATGGAATTATCAAAATCTCAGTAATTAATACACAATGGGGTATTACTTTTCCATAAAAAAGGATAAACTTGAGCCATTTGTAGGAAAATAGATGCACCTTGAGAACACAATGTTAAGTGAAATAAATCAGACACACAAACTTAAATATCATTTTTATATGGGAAATTCAAAGTATAAAGAGCAAAATAAAAGAAAGATAACAGGAAATAGGGAGATAATCTTTTGCAAAATGGAAGGAGACCGAGAGATGGAGAGGGGGGGATGGCAGGGAGGAGGATGAAAAAAAGAATTAAGATGTGTTAAGTACATGTGTCCATGAGGAATATAATCATTATGTACTATAAATACAAAAATTAAAATAATCCTAGGGCTCAGAAATCTCATGAGTATTCAGTTTTAAAGTTTTTTGGTAATAACTCTGAAATATGGCCTCTGTTGTCCCTAAAACTTGCATAAGACATAGACAAAAGAAGAAGGGAGAGAGGGAAGGAGGAAGGAAAGAAAGAAGGGGGAAATGTAAGCTGTGAATTACCTGGCTGTTATGGACTCTTATTAATCCTTTCTGAGAAGCTGTTATTAGTAAATCCAACTGAGGAATCTTGACGATGCATTTAATCACATCTCGTTTTCTACTACCTGTCAATAGTATAATATTCATTTTAACTTCCAGAAACAAAGGCCCTACAACTCATCTGTGAAGTTGGTCTAAAAAAAAAGAAAAGGAAAACAACCAACATGTTGCTAGAAAGACCTGAGTTACTTAAAAATTTAAATAGAATAAACCCATTAAAATCAGTAACTGTTGCTTTTTAATCCTTAGAGATGCAATCTCAATATATAGAGCTCTCCGACTAAACATAGGACGTGAATTCCCAGAGAAAATGTAAGATACACATCTACACCATACACACACGGGGGCACATTTTACACAGAACGACTTTTCTGACCATCGTTTGAAATCATCTCTCTTTTTGAGTTTTTTTTTTACATCTCTTAGGAATCTTTGAATTGTCACCATCGTGGTTTAGAATAGAATAAAAACATGCTGCCAACACGGGTTTTCAGTATAAAAGAATGAGACTACTTCAGTGCTGTTATCAAAGCTGTTCTGAATTTTGTGCATTTTGTAAAAAGACATTGTATACTTTGATATTTCTATGTTCATCTACTAAATGTTAAAACCACATATATTCAACCATTTCCCGGATTGATTTCATGCCTATAATTATAAACTCTCAGAAAGAAAAACCAAGTGAACAGATCTCACGTTCTGGGATTACTACCTCATCCAAGCATCAGCAGAGAAAACAGTGCCCATAACAGGGGGATATGAATGAGTTGGACTCTGTGTATAAAGATATCAGGTATACTTAGTAATTATCTGAGACATTAAAATGTCATAAAGCAAACTGCGCTATGGGAGAGGGGAGATTAAGGGGGAAAAGTTCCTTTGGGATGGATAATAATAAAAAAAAGATTGAAAAATAACTGTCCTATTCAAAGCCACCATCAGTCTCTGCTTTCACTCCTTCACCAATTTAGACTGGTGTCAACACTAAAGCTAGAACAAACATTCAAAGTGTAACTGAGATCAGGCCTCCCATCTGCCCAAGCAATCCTGTAGCTTTCTGTCTCATTCAGAAGTCTCTAGCTCACTGCAGATTCCTATTCACCAGTCCTCAGACACACTGCTGCCTCTCCAGCCTCGTTTTCTATTTCTCTGCCTGAGATGTGTTTCTCTTTCTCCTTTCTTCCAGACTTATTCTCTCCTCAGTGGGGATTCCATGACCACCCTGCTACTCCTAACCCCAAACCAACGTCTCCTTCCTTCATTCCTGCTTGATATTTCTCCCCTACTTAACTTCATTTCCCCCATATCATGTAGCATCATCTGACATACTTTATGTGACATACTTTGCTTGATATATTTGTTGTCCATCTCTTTCTGTGAGACTGAATTCCATGAAGTCAGGGATTTATGCCTTTTTTTTGGGGGGGGTCATTGCTGTGTCCTCAGCACTTGGAAAGCTACTCATTGCACAATAGAAAGCTTGACACATGTTGATTGAGGGGAAAATGAACTATAGAACCTAATTATTCTTCAGGAAAATGCTTCCAAAGGTCTAATTTAGGATGCCACAACATTCTTCTCCTGAGCTCTGGCACCTCCTCAGCTCAGCAGTGTGGCAGCAGGGTTAGTACTTTTGTGTTTGTTCTTTCGTGGTAGTTCCCATGGCCAGACCCTGGGCTGCAGTTGGGCTAAGTAAAGGTCGAGGATAAAAGTGGGTGTTGTTCATAAAGGACTGAAGGACATCCAGGCGCTTTTGTAAAGAAACACTAGATTTGACCCAGACTGCACACATTGCCTAAGAGTATGGGATGGAATGCTGAAAGACAGGAGGAGACTCCAGGATTTGCCTTTTCACTTCCTGACCTTCTCTCACCCTAGGTAGCTAAAAGGGGAGAAAATCCAAAATGTCAGCAATGGAGAGGGATAGGTGTCTTCGGGTCCCAGGTCCAGATTGGAAAATGTGCGAAACGTATGAACTGGAAACTTCCTAAAGTGAGATAATGCCCTGCTGTAGCTGGGCCAAATTCAGGATTACAGTGATGTACGTAAGCCTGTCCAAGATAACTGAGGGTGGGTAAAGAGTATGGGAGAAGTCCTAACTTGAGAACTTAATTTTAAGGATTAAACACATGTGATTCTGTTTGGTACTAACACAAGCATTATTGAGATGGTATGGTAGAGAGGTTCAGTTGAGGTCTGGGCCTTGTCAGGAAAATATAAATGTTTTCACCTTTACTTTTGCTATTTAGTGTGAAGCAATAGTAATATTTCAATTTTGGCAGTAGACACAATTTATTCTGAGACTGTAATTTTCCTCATTTATAAAGAATTGAACAAGTAAATCAGAGGAAAGGTGATTTAATGGAAACACTGTTGTCCCAGTATTTACTTTTGAAAAAAATTAAAACTTATAATAATTTAAAAGGGAAATTTAAAGTATCACCTGAAGTTGCAATTCGCTGTTTTTTTGACACAAGGAAAACCAAATTTTCTTTATCCATCTGGTAAGCAAGAGAATCTGCTTCAGCTGAGAAGTATCCAAAGATCTAAAATCCCAAATAACACATATAAACATGAGCAATATCTAGGAGAATGGCAGTAGAGTCATACCAGATTTAATGTTGGCTGAATTTAAAGTTTAATTTAGATTAGCAGTCAGCACCTTGCTATATAATGCCTGATGATTCTTTATAAAAAAGGAAGCAGGTTGACATATTTGATAAACAGAATACTGATGGCACATAATTTCTGAGTAGTCACTTGTTTTTCTTTTCTGTGGAAGAACTGATGTACTAGACTGGTGTCCTTGTTCATATCCATAGCTCTATTAGGACCTCACATTTATTCGGAAATCAAATCAGCCTTCATCAGACAGAATCTCAGCTGGAAATCCTAATACTGAATGTTGTCACTCTCAAATGACTCTTCATACCTATTTTCCCTGAATTTTTCTGGCCCAGATTTTTTCATTCTAGTTAGAGATTTTTGGAATTTAAGACTGTATAGTTATTTTCTATTTAACTGTTCTAAATCATACTCTCTAGGTGTTGCATGGGAATAACTACAAAAGAGTATCCTGAAGAAAAGCGTAATTTACTGATTAACTGAAGACCCAGTGTGGTGGTATGCACCCATAGTCCCAGCTGCTGGGGAAGTTGTGACAAGGGGATCACATGGGCCAAGGGTTCAAGGTCAGCCTGGGCAACATAATGACACCTCATCTCAAAAAACAAAGCAAAGAAAACAAACAAAAATACCGTTCTTGAACAGTCTTATTGGAAATGAAATTCTTATGTTAATTAAATTTGAAAATAATTGAGAATTTAAAAAAACTTTTAAATTAGTAAAGTGCTCATCATTAAATTCTTACATAACTAATATACCAATATTTCTCAGACTGTGGAGAATAGCCAGTGTCATGAATGAATGAGTGGAAGGAAGTGTGAAGTGCTTCAAAACATTAGTGTGCGCACCAACCACCTGGGAGCCCTTTGAAGTACAGTGACTCAGTAGGTCTGGGGTGGGGTCTAAGAAGCTGCATTAGAAACAAGCTGCCCACGAGGGTTCATACATTGGTGTTTAAAGGAACTAGTGATGAACTGACTCGACTGTAAATAAGTCAAAATCTATTATACATTAATTTATTTTAATAAAATTTAATTTTGATGCTAAAGGATGACTTAGCATTGCATTTTAACATATGTCCTTTCTTCAGGTGGTTCACAAATGACACTGCTTCTTCTTTTACACATCTGCACTGAAACCTGCCAACATGGGAAAAGTATGGGAAAATCAGGATCATCAAAACTATCACTCTTACACTTTTCCTTCTTCTCACCAGCAAAACCAGCACTCAATAAAAGCTTAACTCACTTGTTTTTTTCAGAGATAATTGTTCATTTTTCTTGTGTACAAAACCTACAGGCTTAACATCTAAACCTCTGAAAGAGTGAGAAAATAGGAAAAGTGCTTTTAACTAATCTGTGTTAGAGGAGACAGTGATGTCTTTGTCATTGTTCTCTGATGCTCTATCCGGTTAATGGTTCCCTATTGATCTGCATCTAAGCCCTCTCTTGTTGGAACCCACAATATGGCCCCATGGGCAGGGCTTGTGCTAGGCAGTCAAAGGTGTCTGGGTTTAGGCTCCACAGCTGGTATCCAGAACCTGGACAAACAGCTTCACCTTTTAAACTTTCAGTTTCCTCACTAGAATAAAAGGATGAACTTCTGAGTCACATTTTTGAAATGAGGTTTAAATGAAGCTGTTCATATAAAGTATTTTACATTGTGTTTGGCACACAGTAATTGCTATTAAAAATAAATGGCTGGCTAGGGAATAGCTCAGTGTTAGAGCACTTGCTTATCATGTATAAAGCCCTGGGTTCAATTCCCACCCCAGCATAATAAATAAATAAATAAATAAATAAATAAATAAATAAATGGCTGCTATTATCATTAGAAATCCTAGATTGAGAAAATAAGGCTCTTTTTAGTACTTTAGTACTTTAGTACTTTAAAACCACAAGTCCACTTGGAGACTGAGTGTTTTATTTAGTAAGAAGACTCATGGTTGGGGCGCTGGGATAAAATGATGATAAACTGAACCTCTAGAAAAGAGTATATGACTTCCACAGCCAATTAGACTCAAGAGAGGAATTCAGTGTTACACTCATCCAAATCCACCCATTCCCTGCAGCCTTTAATTCCTTTCTTACTCTGATTAGGTTCTGTAGTGTCGCCTCAGTCTCACATTTCCCTCATCTTTCATCTCTTTGCAGTATTGCTTTGGCCTGGTGAGAATTACTGTAGGAAAATGCAAAAGCACAAGATGGCGGTGCTTTGGTTCAGGTTGCGAAGAGAAGGGGATCCTGGTGGCAGTGAGTTCTGTGTCAGTAGGACTCCAGTGCAGGCACAGCTCCAGATACCCCAACCTGTAGCCAAGGTTGATGCTGGCTAGCATAAATGACTTACATAGCCAAGACTGTTACTGGCACACGGCCACTACTGTGTATTTTGGTATGTATAAATGCAGACTGCTATGAGGGCTGGTGTGCGTGGGAGTTCAGTGGCTAGGGACTGTTGGGAGAATAGGCGGACTAGAGTGCTAGGACTGCTGTGAGTATACAGTGGCTGGGGGCTGCAAGAGTGGCTAAACAGATGAATGGCTAAGCAGCTGAATATAAGATGTTTAACCCAGTCCATCGCTCTGCACCATTTCTTTGGGCTGCCTGAATCTCAAGTGAATCTCCCCAGTCTGAACTGGTTACAAGACATTCATCTGTCACTTGTGCCACAGGGAAAATCCCCTTGCCCAATACATGCAGCCAAAATCACTCCTAGCCCCAGCACTCTGTCTTCAGGGCTTCCTGACCATTGTTTCATGTTTCTATAGGTGATTGCTTCCCTTATTCACTGGAGCAAAGACAACGTTCTTCTCTCTTATGAGAGACAACCTGGCCATCTCCTGGCCACTCTTGCCTCAACCTGAATAGTGTAGGGTCCAAGGCTGGGGAAAGTGGTGGGAGATGAAGAAATTTGGAAAATAATAAGAAAGAAGACAAAATTACACTTTATGGCTGAGACCAAGTAGGACTATAGCCTGATGAGCTAATGGCTGGTGCCCAGTGTGCTCTTTATTTATAGTGTAGGAAAACAGGGCAACTAGGGCCACGTGACCCACATGGCCTACGCTGAACATGACTATCTCATGATAGGGGTATGCACAGAAAAGGAACAAGGATACATAATGTAACTGTCTCCTGGGGTTGTGCCATCCAGGATCTATAATCTTAGTCAAACAGATCTGTTTGACTCTCTCTAATCTATACAGGAGAAAGGGAGTAGGGATTAGACGAAAGGCCATCTTCAGTCTTGGCCTGCACCATTCTCAGTAGCTGACCTCACCTATACTTCAGCTGATCACAGGAGCCACTAGACAAGAGATTCCTCTGCTCCTTTCCTATACACTAGGCTGGCTTTGGATCCATACCATATGCCTTTCTTATCTTTTAAAGGAAAACATATTTCCTGTTATAGCTTGTATCTAGATGTCCTTCCAAAGCTTCGCAGGGTCAAGGTGGAGAATTTTGAAGGTGGCTGAATTAGTGTGTGAAAATGTGGATTAAGGGTGTGATGCTGGGATTCAGGCTTTAGATGATGGAAGCCACACCCTGGGTATGGGGGACACCAATCAGTAGGCATGTAACCTGGATGGGATATAAAAGCACAGAAAGAAGGCAGGCTTGCTGCTGCCGCCTACTGCTTTGGCTGCTTGCTGCCTTCCTGCCTGCCATGGACTGTTTCTCCTCTGTGATGCCCCTCTGCCATGCCACCCCACTTTGGAGTCAGTCTACTATGGACTGAAACCTCTACAAACTTTCAGCTGAAGTAAACCTTTCCTCTTTTAACTTTGAGTGTCTGTATTTTGTCACAGCAATGAGAAAAGTAACTAAGACATTTCCCTTTCCAAGGCTAACCTTGCCTCCTGTGCTTTGAATCCCATCACCTCCTATCTCTTCTAGTTTTGTCTCCTTTTCCTTTCCTCAGCATCTTCAATCTCTACTGACTTTTCAACGTCCAGAAATGTTCAGATCTTTGCTATATAAAAATAAAAATACAATAACCTTCCAAAGTCTACCACCACACAAATAATATCCTTGTCTTTTTACTTGCTGTTCTCTTCCCCAGCATCCTTCTCTGAGTGTTGAACCTCCTTATATTACTATTGAGCTTGGCTCCTTTTTAAGGCCATTTGTTTTTTCTGTTGGCTGTAACAGCAGACAATACTCTTTTTGAATTCTGACACATTTTCCTGTTTTATTTTTCAATTGCTGTCAAAACAAGTGACAAAAAATATAATGACTTAATAGCTGTTTCTTAGCTCACAGTTCCACAAGTTAGAAGTGCCAGCTGGGTCTCATCAGGATAAAATCAAAGAGTTAATAGACACATGTTTTTATTACTTGAGTCTTCAGGCGGGGGTGTGGGTGAGGGAGAGCTGGCTTCCAAGTTCATTCAAGTTGCTATCCCAAGGCCTGTTTACTTGCTCTACGTCAGCTGGAACTTCCCAGCTCCTAGAGGCTGCTCTTCACCCCTAGCATATGAGCTCAATATCTTAGCAACAGTAATGGAGTTTCAAGATCCCCTCATGCTCAGAATCTTTCTTTTTCCCTACTGTCTTATTTTTAAGAACTCATCTGATTACTCTGGCCCCACTTAAATAATATAGGATAATCTCCCTATATTAACCTCATTCTAGCTGCAAAGTCATTTCACAGCATTACTCAGATTAGTGTTGGAATAACCAGAAGACAGGAATCTTGGGAAAGGAAGTCACCTTTACAATTCTGCCTATCACTTCTCATTAATACACACTACTTATTCTAACTTAAATTACACAAAAGTTTTTTAAATTATAAATGTTCAACATCCAACTTAACCTGAGACAATAATGTGAAATCAAAATTTTCAGATAATAATGTGAAATGACAATGACAAGGATGACTCTTTACTTTTCTTGCTAATGAATTCCAGTGTTTCTCAGGGG